CCAGTGCTATGCAGTAGTGAATCAGACCCTTAGATAACAGAAGCTTATGTCGTCTTAATAATTAAAGCTTCCAAGACCTTAAGAGCATTTGGTTTTATTTGAAAACAGATGGGTTAGGATGGATAAATATCTTAAGTATTACAGTGAAACAATCCCACCATCTGCAATCTTCATCAGTAACATCATTCTTTTAAACTAAGTTTCATCTTTGAACTAACTGGCTTTGAATAAAAACACAGCGAGACAGACTTCAGTTTACCTCCCTTCATTAAAAGCACCAGGTTGACAAGCAAATAAAAAAGGCATGGTAAAACCATGGGCCAGCACCTCACCTAATATAAACTTTGACTTCTGTAATGAGCACCTTTAGTACCCTGCACACCACAGTGTAGTACTGACAGACACCCTCCCCACCATCTGGGGGTGGAGTCAAACCTGGGACCTATGGAGCTTAACTACCTTAGGTCTGGTGCACCATATTCTCCAGAGACTTCAAAAACAGAAGTAACACGAGATAAACTTCTGCACAATCAAAATTCTTGGCATGTTTGAAGCACTTATGCTGGTAACCAGCATCACATATGCTCTGCATCTCTTAACCCAGAGGTGCTTTCAGATACAGATCCATCCTTGTGGTGCACTAATGTAGTAGATGGTTGCCATATGACAAGGACATTCCCTTTTAATGCAGGGAATGGGCTATTGCCTAAAAGGAAATGCAGGCAAATAAGCCTTCTGCTACTGGCAAAACTGCAAAATAATTTTGCACAGCACAAACGTGATTTGTTCCTGCCTGCCTTACGTTTCTACTCAACTTTCCCTGACAATTAACCAAACAACAGGCACTTGATTGACTCCAAACCTCCTAATCATTATCCAGGTGTCTTACCCAGCTGAGCTGCTAAATCCTACAGCTTGGCTTGGCTGACTGAAAGCAGCTATGGATGTTTTGTGCATTAACAATTTGTTTTGTTTTTGCATTTCCTGCCTCCTAGTATCCCTCCCTTCGGAGCCCTATTCAATAAAGCTAATTTAAACCCCTGGCGGGGGGAGGGGAGTATTTGTATGGCAGCATCTAGAATTTTAGCTGCATGACTCATTAATATCCAGCTGAAAACAGAACACAGCTTCAAGGTCCAGGACGAAAGAAATACTTATGTTTCCTCGGGTAACAGTACAATGGGAGCTGTTTTAGGAAGACAACTCTGCCAGAAGTCTCAGAGAATGGCCGCTTTTTACACTCTCCTGCACTGTATACGCAGGCTTGGAAAAAAAGGACCTATCTGAATCTACCATTAGTGCTCCCTGAATTGGGACACAAACTAGGGAAGGGACATCCATGTTCCCAGCACAAATAAAGTAAGATGATGTTTCTACCTGGAGACTGCTGAGTTCCTTCCATGCTCCTCTGTAAATGGAATTGACTTTCAATTTATTATTGCTTAGGTATAGCTCCTGAAGCTTTGTCATCCCTGCCAGGGCTCTTCTTGGAATGGTGCTTATGTCATTCTCTTTCAGTTTCAGGATCTGCAGATTCTTTGGAAAGCCGAAAGGCATCGTATGGAGGTTGTTCCCTGAAAGATCCAAGGCCTTTAGCAGTCGCAGCTTGCGGAAGGCTTCCCGATGAATACGAGAACTTGTGATCTTATTGTAGCTCAGGTTGAGCTCCTCCAGTAAGTAAGTGGTAGCAAAGTCATTCCTGTTAATCTCAGAGATCTGGTTGTGAAGAATCATAAGTGTCTTCACTCGCCGAGGCAGCCCACTGGGAATCCTTTCCAGCATATTGTTGTACAAATGGACAGTGTGTAGCTTCTTGAGGCCCTGGAAGGCTAGCGGGTGGATTCCTCGGGCTTTTAACTTGTTATTATGAAGTAGAAGATACTCAAGGTTCCTAATTTGGATCAAAACATCCCTGCCAATCATCTTAATTGCATTCTTCTCCAGGTGAAGAAGAACAATGTTTCTAGGTAAGCCACTTGGGATTTGTGAAAGGTTATTGCTGGACAAATCCAGATATTCAAGGCTGGATAGTTTCCTTGGAAAAGCAGGAAAGAAAACATTCTTCATTTACATGCTGCCAAGTGAAATAATAATCTGTTTTCCTGGGGAACTTGCCATCTTTTTAACAGACTTTCTCCCCTCATAATGGCCACCCTGATACTTCCCTTTCAATCTTTGGCTACATCTACAGTACAGCCCAAATCTACGTAGTAAGATCAGTCCACTGGCAATCAATTTAGTGGGTCTAGGGAAGATCTGCCAAATTGACCACAGATCATTCTACCCGGATGAGAACAGCAAGGGAAGTCTATGGAGGAGCTTCCCCTTTCAATCCCCCGCAATGTAGAACCCACAGTAACTCAGCTTAAGTTACGTTGACTCCAGCAAAGTTATTCACATTGCTGGAGTTGCACACCTTAAGTTGACTTTCTGAGGTAGGGTAGCTGTAGCCTTTGATGTTTCCCTAGTAGGACAGCAGAACATGTACTTCCTTCACTGGCCATTAGGGAAAATCCAGGCCCATCAAGCACTAGCTACACTTGCATAATCATTTGGCCCTTGTCAATTGCGAGGGAGATGATATCTGCTTTTCAACCTGAGATTTCTCTTTAACACTACGTACAAAATACTGCAGCCAAATGGTCAAACTTTATGCCAGTAGTTTTCAAACTTTTTTCCTGGTGACCCAGTTGAAAAAAATAGTTGATTCCTAAGACCAATGGAGCTGGGGATAAAGGCTTTGGGTGTACACATGAGGGTTGAGGGCTGGGGGCAGGAGTGATGGCTGTGAGGTGGGGTTGGGGATGATGGGTTCATGGTGTAGGAAGGTCTCTGAGCTGGGGTAGGGATTGGAGTGTAGAACAGGGTCAAAGATGAAGGCTATGAAATGGAATGGTGGATGAGGGATTTAGAGTGCAGGAGACTTTGGGTTTGGGACGGGTTCAGGACTGGGGCACAGGCTTACCTCCCATAACTTTTTGACAGCAGCTTCCTCCTGTCTTGGCACCACGGACCACACTGTGCCCCTTAAGCAGCCAGCAACAGGTCCAAGCTCCTAGGTAGAGGCATGCAAGCAGCTACACATGGCTCTCACCTACAGGCACTGACCCACCCCACCTTCCATTGGCTGGTTTCCAGTCAATGGGAGTGTGGAACCGGTGTTCAGGGCAGAGGCAGCATGGGGACCCCTGTGGCCTTGGTGCCTAGGAGCCAGACCTGCTGCTGGCTACTTCTGGAGCATGGCATGATGTCAGAACAGGTAGGGATTTGACCAATGGTTTTCCAAGTGTGCGTTGTGACCCAACCTTAGCTGGCCACTAGGGTCCCTGGTGCTAAGTAAGGCAACTAAGGGTACATCTAGACTACATGCCTCTGGCGACAGAGGCATGTAGATTACACTACCCAGAATAGGAAAATGAAGCAGCGATTTAAATAATCGCCACTTCATTTAAATTTAAATGGCTGCTGCGCTGAGCTGATCAGCTGTTTGTCGGCTCAGCGCAGTAGTCTGGATGCTCTGCGGTCGACATCAAAGGCATTTGTCGACCTCCCAGGTATGCCTCATCCCAAATGGCAGTGGGGAAAAATAAAGGGGTTGTTGCCATTTTCCTTTCTTTGCGGTCTGAGTTTTATAGAGTTATGGACAGGACAGGTAATGTGGGCCGGAACCTCAGGTATAGCCAGTCAAGTACTCCACACAAGTAGGGGGGCAAAGGTAACTTTCTGATACACTGATATCAAGAGCCTCCGTTTACCCTAGGACAGCATAGACAAGCCAAAAAAGGGCTATTTTCAATTGCACCAGCTTGTAAAAAACCCATAAGTGCTATTTAGTTTCTGGGAATCATCAAAGCACAGCATTGTCCAGCTTTGCATCTACACTGGGGCAGACCCATGCCAGGATAAGCCTTAACTGCACAATTAGGGTAGCTTTCAAGTCTGTTTTGCATTTTGAGAGCAGCACACCAGAGAATCAGTGGGGCTAAGGATCTAGCCTTAATATCCAGGGGCACCCCTGAGAACTGTCTGTCCGGGATGGGGGTTGGGTCCCTTTAAGCACAGCCCTCCACGCTGAGGCAGCAGCTCCACGCTCTAAGTCCTCATCTGATGCCCTGCCGGCACTGCTTCCGGCCATCCTTAACCCCGGTTCAGGGTCCACTTAATGTGGACATGCTAGTTCGAATTAGCAAAACCCTAATTCAAACTAGTTTTTTAGTTTGGATGCGTTAGTTCGAATTAGCGCTGTAGTGTAGACATACCCTAAGATACATTTGTTTGACACCAACTGCCATAATATCTGGCCACTGCTCGGAGTTACATTACTGCAGATCTGGAATTCCAGAAACTTCAGTGCACTCATTCTAGATTTAGGTCCCAATCTTGCAAATATTTATGCAAATACTTAACTTTGTGCATGCAATTAGTTTCATTGACTTCAGTGGGAACAGTCACATGTGCAAAGTAAATTATGTGGGTAAGTATTTGCAGGATTGGGGTCTTAACTCAGCTGTAATTTGTCAAACTTACCACAATTGGACTACTCATGTAAACACTGTAGATTCAACCCATAAATGAAGTATAAATTATTGTATGTTGTAAGAGAAGTAACTGAGTAAGTAATGAAGCCATTCAAAAATGCACTCTGCCACATGCAACCCAAGGCAGTTCCCTTAGAGGCTACTTGAAGGAAAAAAATGGGCCTGTCATTTTTCTTGAACAGAGTTTACAATGTAGTAGGGCACAGCTGGACTCCAAGGGCTCTGCATTGCTCTAATTTGATACTAATTTCAGTGTGTGACAGTGACATGAAACCAGTGCTATGCAGTAGTGAATCAGACCCTTAGATAACAGAAGCTTATGTCGTCTTAATAATTAAAGCTTCCAAGACCTTAAGAGCATTTGGTTTTATTTGAAAACAGATGGGTTAGGATGGATAAATATCTTAAGTATTACAGTGAAACAATCCCACCATCTGCAATCTTCATCAGTAACATCATTCTTTTAAACTAAGTTTCATCTTTGAACTAACTGGCTTTGAATAAAAACACAGCGAGACAGACTTCAGTTTACCTCCCTTCATTAAAAGCACCAGGTTGACAAGCAAATAAAAAAGGCATGGTAAAACCATGGGCCAGCACCTCACCTAATATAAACTTTGACTTCTGTAATGAGCACCTTTAGTACCCTGCACACCACAGTGTAGTACTGACAGACACCCTCCCCACCATCTGGGGGTGGAGTCAAACCTGGGACCTATGGAGCTTAACTACCTTAGGTCTGGTGCACCATATTCTCCAGAGACTTCAAAAACAGAAGTAACACGAGATAAACTTCTGCACAATCAAAATTCTTGGCATGTTTGAAGCACTTATGCTGGTAACCAGCATCACATATGCTCTGCATCTCTTAACCCAGAGGTGCTTTCAGATACAGATCCATCCTTGTGGTGCACTAATGTAGTAGATGGTTGCCATATGACAAGGACATTCCCTTTTAATGCAGGGAATGGGCTATTGCCTAAAAGGAAATGCAGGCAAATAAGCCTTCTGCTACTGGCAAAACTGCAAAATAATTTTGCACAGCACAAACGTGATTTGTTCCTGCCTGCCTTACGTTTCTACTCAACTTTCCCTGACAATTAACCAAACAACAGGCACTTGATTGACTCCAAACCTCCTAATCATTATCCAGGTGTCTTACCCAGCTGAGCTGCTAAATCCTACAGCTTGGCTTGGCTGACTGAAAGCAGCTATGGATGTTTTGTGCATTAACAATTTGTTTTGTTTTTGCATTTCCTGCCTCCTAGTATCCCTCCCTTCGGAGCCCTATTCAATAAAGCTAATTTAAACCCCTGGCGGGGGGAGGGGAGTATTTGTATGGCAGCATCTAGAATTTTAGCTGCATGACTCATTAATATCCAGCTGAAAACAGAACACAGCTTCAAGGTCCAGGACGAAAGAAATACTTATGTTTCCTCGGGTAACAGTACAATGGGAGCTGTTTTAGGAAGACAACTCTGCCAGAAGTCTCAGAGAATGGCCGCTTTTTACACTCTCCTGCACTGTATACGCAGGCTTGGAAAAAAAGGACCTATCTGAATCTACCATTAGTGCTCCCTGAATTGGGACACAAACTAGGGAAGGGACATCCATGTTCCCAGCACAAATAAAGTAAGATGATGTTTCTACCTGGAGACTGCTGAGTTCCTTCCATGCTCCTCTGTAAATGGAATTGACTTTCAATTTATTATTGCTTAGGTATAGCTCCTGAAGCTTTGTCATCCCTGCCAGGGCTCTTCTTGGAATGGTGCTTATGTCATTCTCTTTCAGTTTCAGGATCTGCAGATTCTTTGGAAAGCCGAAAGGCATCGTATGGAGGTTGTTCCCTGAAAGATCCAAGGCCTTTAGCAGTCGCAGCTTGCGGAAGGCTTCCCGATGAATACGAGAACTTGTGATCTTATTGTAGCTCAGGTTGAGCTCCTCCAGTAAGTAAGTGGTAGCAAAGTCATTCCTGTTAATCTCAGAGATCTGGTTGTGAAGAATCATAAGTGTCTTCACTCGCCGAGGCAGCCCACTGGGAATCCTTTCCAGCATATTGTTGTACAAATGGACAGTGTGTAGCTTCTTGAGGCCCTGGAAGGCTAGCGGGTGGATTCCTCGGGCTTTTAACTTGTTATTATGAAGTAGAAGATACTCAAGGTTCCTAATTTGGATCAAAACATCCCTGCCAATCATCTTAATTGCATTCTTCTCCAGGTGAAGAAGAACAATGTTTCTAGGTAAGCCACTTGGGATTTGTGAAAGGTTATTGCTGGACAAATCCAGATATTCAAGGCTGGATAGTTTCCTTGGAAAAGCAGGAAAGAAAACATTCTTCATTTACATGCTGCCAAGTGAAATAATAATCTGTTTTCCTGGGGAACTTGCCATCTTTTTAACAGACTTTCTCCCCTCATAATGGCCACCCTGATACTTCCCTTTCAATCTTTGGCTACATCTACAGTACAGCCCAAATCTACGTAGTAAGATCAGTCCACTGGCAATCAATTTAGTGGGTCTAGGGAAGATCTGCCAAATTGACCACAGATCATTCTACCCGGATGAGAACAGCAAGGGAAGTCTATGGAGGAGCTTCCCCTTTCAATCCCCCGCAATGTAGAACCCACAGTAACTCAGCTTAAGTTACGTTGACTCCAGCAAAGTTATTCACATTGCTGGAGTTGCACACCTTAAGTTGACTTTCTGAGGTAGGGTAGCTGTAGCCTTTGATGTTTCCCTAGTAGGACAGCAGAACATGTACTTCCTTCACTGGCCATTAGGGAAAATCCAGGCCCATCAAGCACTAGCTACACTTGCATAATCATTTGGCCCTTGTCAATTGCGAGGGAGATGATATCTGCTTTTCAACCTGAGATTTCTCTTTAACACTACGTACAAAATACTGCAGCCAAATGGTCAAACTTTATGCCAGTAGTTTTCAAACTTTTTTCCTGGTGACCCAGTTGAAAAAAATAGTTGATTCCTAAGACCAATGGAGCTGGGGATAAAGGCTTTGGGTGTACACATGAGGGTTGAGGGCTGGGGGCAGGAGTGATGGCTGTGAGGTGGGGTTGGGGATGATGGGTTCATGGTGTAGGAAGGTCTCTGAGCTGGGGTAGGGATTGGAGTGTAGAACAGGGTCAAAGATGAAGGCTATGAAATGGAATGGTGGATGAGGGATTTAGAGTGCAGGAGACTTTGGGTTTGGGACGGGTTCAGGACTGGGGCACAGGCTTACCTCCCATAACTTTTTGACAGCAGCTTCCTCCTGTCTTGGCACCACGGACCACACTGTGCCCCTTAAGCAGCCAGCAACAGGTCCAAGCTCCTAGGTAGAGGCATGCAAGCAGCTACACATGGCTCTCACCTACAGGCACTGACCCACCCCACCTTCCATTGGCTGGTTTCCAGTCAATGGGAGTGTGGAACCGGTGTTCAGGGCAGAGGCAGCATGGGGACCCCTGTGGCCTTGGTGCCTAGGAGCCAGACCTGCTGCTGGCTACTTCTGGAGCATGGCATGATGTCAGAACAGGTAGGGATTTGACCAATGGTTTTCCAAGTGTGCGTTGTGACCCAACCTTAGCTGGCCACTAGGGTCCCTGGTGCTAAGTAAGGCAACTAAGGGTACATCTAGACTACATGCCTCTGGCGACAGAGGCATGTAGATTACACTACCCAGAATAGGAAAATGAAGCAGCGATTTAAATAATCGCCACTTCATTTAAATTTAAATGGCTGCTGCGCTGAGCTGATCAGCTGTTTGTCGGCTCAGCGCAGTAGTCTGGATGCTCTGCGGTCGACATCAAAGGCATTTGTCGACCTCCCAGGTATGCCTCATCCCAAATGGCAGTGGGGAAAAATAAAGGGGTTGTTGCCATTTTCCTTTCTTTGCGGTCTGAGTTTTATAGAGTTATGGACAGGACAGGTAATGTGGGCCGGAACCTCAGGTATAGCCAGTCAAGTACTCCACACAAGTAGGGGGGCAAAGGTAACTTTCTGATACACTGATATCAAGAGCCTCCGTTTACCCTAGGACAGCATAGACAAGCCAAAAAAGGGCTATTTTCAATTGCACCAGCTTGTAAAAAACCCATAAGTGCTATTTAGTTTCTGGGAATCATCAAAGCACAGCATTGTCCAGCTTTGCATCTACACTGGGGCAGACCCATGCCAGGATAAGCCTTAACTGCACAATTAGGGTAGCTTTCAAGTCTGTTTTGCATTTTGAGAGCAGCACACCAGAGAATCAGTGGGGCTAAGGATCTAGCCTTAATATCCAGAGAAACAGGAGCAGAGTCCTAAGAGAAACTCTAAGATACCAGGGAGTGCGGATTATTGGTGATTGTTGTTTATGGATGCTGTATGAGACAAGTTAAAAATGTTTGCATTTGTGTGGCAGCAGCTGAATCTAGGCCTTCTCATACAGACCCAGTATATAACATAAAATGGCACAAATAATATAAAATACAGTTGAAACCTCATACCCTGTGGTACATGAAAAGAAAAAACAGCCAAATATCAACTCCAGGCATTAGGTAAAGAGCAGAATCTCACCAGAAAGTTTCATTGTCCATCCCTTCATTAGTCAAGTAGTTGTTCTGCAAATACAGCTCTCGAAGGCCTGTGAGTTCGTTGAAGGCTCCTTTGGGAATCTTCTCCAGCTTATTGTTCTATAGCCAAAGAAAGCACATTATCAGGCATATGAATCTAGAGAACAGTCAGGCACAACTCTGAGCAGCCAGCATCATAGGTTTCATGTCTGTGGGCATAAGAAGCAAATTAAAGCTCTTTTCCACTCATTCTTCTGGCATAATTCCCCAAAGAGTTTTGACTGAGGACTGAGTAAGAGAATTGTAGGATTTGGCCCCTTAACAGGGCCCTATTTACCATACAGGTTCCTATTCCCTTCACCAAGCAATCTATGCACCTATCAGACAACCCTGGGCAAAGAATCTATACTCAGCAAACCAGATTTCACTGTGCAGTGGACCAACCAATCCTAACAATATTCCTTAACTGCCAAAAAGCACAGTTCCTGGGAGTTAGCCACTCAGAAGCCACTTTAAGGGGACAAGGTGGCTTTCTGGAATCTAACAGGCAGCAAAAGATAAACCCTTTTTGTTGCCTTGAGCCAACATAAGAACTGCTGTGTTCATTGGTGCATTCCATTTATAAGCACTAATTATAAGTGGGCCCCACACTTTTAGGATATGTGAGTCATAATGTTGATGTTGGCAGACACAAGACGATTCAAGTCTTTAAAGAATGCATTGGAGGCTGTGCCAGCTTCATGTCTCAACATCTCAATCAAGGGGCCTACACTGGGGTCAAAGTGAGCAGAGGGAAGAAAGTGACAATGTGACTGTGTTGCATCAAAACTAGCCCTGCCTCTCCCTTTTATCTGCTCGCAGCTTCCCCTTAATTTATTGTTGCTCTGCCGTTGGCTGGTCAACAATGGGATCATGTGTCTTACCAGTAGATAATGCTTTTTGGGAACAAAGCTCACATTTCCCTCTCCAGTCCTCCGCTTCCCCCACAAGGCCTAAGACTGTCCAGCACTTGACAAACTCTGAGTCCTGACTACAATGGGTCTGAGCACCCACTTAAAGTTCCACTAAAGTCAACTAGTGTAGAGCACATTCAGTATCTTGCAGGAGGAGTCCAGCAATTGACAAGATCAGGTCCTTTGTTTCTTTGGAGACCCTAGTTCCCAAAAAAAGTTGCATGAGAGTCTATGGTGAAACCTCCAAAGAAAAGAAAGCAGAGCAGGCAAGAAAAGACTTCATAGCTTTGGGAGATGATGGTTGGCGACAGGCATTGTTTACCTCCCAGGGATGGTCAGCACTAAGCATAACCGGACCCAGAATTATCCACTATAGCATCTCCTCCTATGGTGAGAGCCCTAGTGTAGATGGGCAACAGGAGATTTTAATCAAGATTAGATGACACAGAGGTAATACTAGAGCCCAGCTACACTACAACTTCTGCCTCTGCCAGGGGAGCTTTAGCAGTGGAAAAATAGGCCCAAATTTTCCAGTCAGTAGAGACCAAAAGCCATTGCTACTTGAAGGCAATACAACCTATGTGAAAAAAATCTGCTGAGCAAAGACAATTCCTAGTGGATAAGTGACTAGGTCAGAAAAAAACTCAATCACAAATGGCAGGCTCAGCTAGAAGGGACAAAGACCGAATGACAAAACTTATTTGCCCCTTCATCCCTCCATGTGTTTACTCCACATGAGGACAGCATGACCAAATATGCACTCTCTCCAAGGACTGCCCGATGTTTGACTACATTCAGGATTGGGAAATGCAAGGCTGCCAGCCAACCACTAGAAATAAATGCCCTTGGAAAGATTAAAAAGAAAGGAATTTAGATCTAGGCAAACAACATGCTGCTCTGCAAAACAGCCATCACTTCTCATGCCAGCAAACTCGTACATACAGGGGATATTGACTATTCTCAGGTGTGATTTTCATTCAGCCCAAACCTGGCAGGCACAGTTTAACAATGGGCCTGGTTCTGCAGTTTAAATCTCACACAAACACACACACACACAGCATCACATCCCAGATGTAAGAGAATACACAAACTTGGTTCCATTACCTTTAAGTGTAGTTTATATAGTGCTGGAGGCAGATTCTTTGGAACATATTTCAGGAAATTGCTGGACATGATTAATATCTCCACGTTATCAGAGCCATTGAACATATTATCAGGTAATCCAGCATCTGAGAGTTTATTGTTATGGAGATACACGGATCTACCCGAAAGAAAGAAACTGAATTAGGCGGTATGGTCTGCTTTCCTCTCTTACCCAGTGCAGCCTTCTGAAATCTATACCTCAGTCTACCATCTTCTTCCTTTTCTTAAGATACATATGTTCATTTTTAATGTATCACTTATACTGCCAAATATAAAAACATATGTGCCAAACCAAATCACTGGCCCCAAACATTCTCTGAAATCCAAACCTGGAACTGGATCTGTGTTTTATGAATGACCCCATCTTTAACAGGTTGAGACAAAGCCTGGGTTCCATATATGGCAAAACTTACATATGTTTGAAATCTGGATCTGAATTTAGCAGTTTGAGCCCAGCTCTGTGTTTGGCCACAAGGAAAAGAGAATCTATGAAAGTGATGGACAACCCTCAGAAAGTTTAGAGTTTGGATTTGGTTCAGAGATGTAAACCAAAATTTGGGTGCCATCCTATCCCTAAAGAGCCCGCCACAAAAGGCTCTTGATGGGGGTTGGTAAATATAGTTGAATCCAATACTGTTGCATCATTAGCAACAGCATTATAGTCTCAGCTTCATTACAACCTTTCAGTGAAAGAATAAAGTTGGAGTAGGGGATATTTGACCTGTTAGTCATTGAGCTGATTAATCAGGGCTGCTCCATGCCACTCATGAAACAGATAAACACAAACATGATTTAGAAGATGCGCTTATTAAAAATGGTGTATGTATGTTTGTGTGAGGTCCAGCAAAAACCACTAAAATGCATTCCTCTAGAGTGGTTTTGGTCCCCTTGGTAAAATAAACAATAAATAAAAGTTATCTGCAAGTCAAAAACAGTTTTGGTAAACAATCAAAATAAACAGTTCTTCCCATTAATCCACTTGCACTAAACAGTGAGAGTGTGTGTCTACACAGCAGTGCTAATTTGAAATAACTGCCGTTTATTTCAAAATCTGTAAACCTCATTGCATGAGGAATAATGTCTCTTTCGAAATAGCAGTAGGGTGGACACTCCACTGCTACTATTTTGAAATAGCTCCTCCTCAGGGTCATTGAAAGTAATTACTCCCCCCCTCCCCCAGTGCTTCCTGGGGCTCTAAATCGAGGTAGCACATCCACATTAGGGGAGTCTGCCTCAGAATAATTTTGAGGCTTCCCAGTATTGTGGACATGCTACTTTGAAATAAGATATTTAAAAAAAATTCAAAATAGCTTATTTCAAAATAAGCATGCTGTTTAGGCATTCCCTGATCGAACATACTCCTCCTTTCACTTCTCAGTGCCTTACCTCAGATTTGGCTTCTGTCCAAACGTGAGCCCATAAATCTTTGTGAGATAATTGGCTGCAAAATCTGCACTGATCAAGGTATTTGGTAGAAATTTCGGAGCCAGAGTTAACTGAAAAACAAATATGGGGGGGGGGGAGGTGTCAGATGTAATGAATGCTTTAGCCATCAGTATTGGATTAGCAGCAGAATATCTGCAGGCTATTTACATTGAAGAGGCAACAGTAAATAACAGAGTCCAAGTGGTCTGTCTTCATTAAATCTCTAGAAGACAGTACTAGACTTTTCCTTCAAAATGTCTGGATGGGTTTTGTTTTGATTGGAAGAGATTTTTCTTTTGGTGGAAGAACTCAAGGTTTAAAGGAGTTAACACATTTCATGTTCTGGTTATAATTCCTGTGAAATAACATAAGACCATAAGAATGGCCATACTGGGTCAGAGCAAAGGTCCATCTAGCCCAGTAGTCTGTCTGCCGACAGTGGCCAGCACCAGGTGCCCTAGAGAGGGTGGACCGAAGACAATGATCAAGCGATTTGTCTCCTGCCATCCTTCTCCAGTCTCTGACAAACAGAGGCCAGGGACACCATTTCTATCCCCTGGCTAATAGCCTTTTATGGACCTAACCTCCCTGAAATCATCTAGCTTCTCTTTAAACTCTGTTATAGTCCTAGCCTTCACAGCCTCCTCTGGCAAGGAGTTCCACAGGTTGACCTCACGTTGTGTGAAGAAGAACTTTCTTTTATTATTTTTAAACCTGATACCCGTTAATTTCATTTGGTGTCCTCTAGTTCTTCTATTATGCGAACTAATAAATAACTTTTCTTTATCTACCCTCTCCACACCACTCATGATTTTATATACCTCTATCACAGGGGTTCCCAAACTTTTTGACACACGGACCAGTAAATCCATTCACGAACTTTTGGAGGACTGGTAATGTTCATTTGAATATTTGCATATTCATTAATCAAATGATGAATATTCAAGTAAGTTGTTTCTGGTCCTCCCAAAACCCCCAGTGCCAGCTTTAGCAAAGCTTTTGATAGGGTCACCCACAATATTCTTGCCAGCAAGTTAAGGAATATGGATTGGATAAGTGGACTGTAAGACAGACAGAAAGCTGGTTAGACCAGGGTTTCCCAAACTTTTTACTTTAGTTGGAACCCTTTTTTTTCAATACTGCTTTTTGCAGCCCAAAAATATAAACACATAAAAAACAAACTGAGAAAATACCAGACATATAACATGTCTGATATTTTCTCATTAGGTAAGTTTTATTATTACTAGATGTATCAGTTTGTAGTTTCGAACTGCCTGGCTGGTAAATGTGCTCAGGCTGCATGAGTGTGTCTACCAGCCAGACAGTTCGCAACTACTCAAGGGGGCGTGTGTGTGGCGGGGGACAATAGAATCCCAGGGACAGTCTAACTCATGCTTTGTGCTTTGCGGGAGGGAGGGGGTAACGGGGCAGCATCCCAAGATCTACATATGGCCGGGTCAGTCCCACTCCCCGCAGGCTGATTCATTCCTCTCCGCTGCGCCTCTGGCCAGCCCCACTTCCCCCAACCCCCTCCTAGGCAGCCAGGTCGCCCCCCCCCTCACC